TTCATAATGGAACTCATGTATGTCCCAGGAATATGCATGTACATCACATGAATGTTCCAGGTATATTCTGGGAATATCATTTTGCTATGTGGGAACCATCATTGAATTTGAGTTTACTTTTAAAGTCCCTGGTTCTCCGGGAATCAACTGTGATTATTTACATTGAACTTGATAAGGATTTCGATTAAATTTTCTTTTTTGTCAGTAGATTTGCGTGCGTGATGTTGCGAAATGGAAACTCACAATAAAGCCTTGGCACATACTCTTCCTTCTTGGCTTTTTCGGTTGCTTTCGCTATTTCCCCAATAGTCACATTTCCCGTGCCAACATAAGCCCGCACTATATTAAATTCAATACACCCCGGCTTGGCCCCGTTTAAAATCCGCACTAAAGTGCAAAGCGTGCGGTTACTGGCCCTTAACATGGCGTTAAAACAAATTAATTGAAAAATACAAACTACGAACTATTTACACAAGCTCTAAAAGACCTAAAGAAGCTACTAAGGACTAGCAATTGCTGCTAACTGAGGTTATAAATTAGTTTTGGGACTTAAATGTAGGTCATCACGGACTTTGGACGCGAGGTTGTCAGGTTTAAAGGCGATAGTCGTGTAAAAACTCCTTTGAAACTGGTTAAGGGCTCACTTTTATTCCCGCAGATCCTTAAACAGTAACAAGAAAATGCTGATAATATGAACACTGATTGGAAAATGTGTAAAAACAACGTCTAATGGCAACAGGAAATAAATCATAAGGTAGAAACTAATGAAGATTCAGGCGGTTATTTCGTTGCCCCAAGGATCCTTGCTGGCTTCTGTGAGTGCCACTGCAGCCTCAGCTATTTTAGTCAGCAAATCTGATAGCTGTTCTTCAGTGAATTCCTGAAAACAACCAAATAATCAGCCAAGAAACATATTTTTTGGTATATTAACCTTATACAAACAATGCTTTTCCGACGCAATTATGTCGGCCAACTGGACGCACTCCTCATACATTTCTGATTCGCTCAAAACCGAGCATAGCAGGAATGTGACTTCTGGTAGAACCGTTTTCCTCAAATGATAACAGTCTTTCGCGCCGTTGAGCCAACCATCCGGAAACAGCAAAACGTTGTAGAGCTGTTTGTTGGCAGTGATGGCAAGGTGTTTATTCGTAAGCTTCCATCTAGAACCCAAAAAAATCCCCATTACCTGCCCTTGATTATGGTCTTTGGATCAGTAAATACCTTTCCACTTCAACTTTGTGCTGAGATAGTCTGTGCTCATAGGCAACTTTTTGCGAAAACTGGGTATTTTCCGGCAAGTCTTCAGGCGCTTCCGGCTGGTTTTTCATCTGCTTGAACCACTCGTTAAACGCTTCATATGCTTCCAAATACACTTTGTAGCTGAGATGCTCTTTGATGATTTGATTGGTTTCTTCGCTGGTGTCTTCCACTTCGGCTGTGACTTGCCGAATAGCATCGCTTGGAATTTTGTTGAAGGCCAGTTGGGCAGCGTCCAGTTTGCCCAACAGTAGGAATTTGAAGATAATGGCATTGGTTTGGATCAGCACATCCAGCCGTTGATTTTCGAAAAACACCAACCAATCGATGGCGGAAATCACCAGTTCGTCTGTTTCCGTGATTTTTTTCTGCAATTGCATCAGATTTTGTAATTGAATCGGTTGTTGGAGTGGAGTGGAGTTTCTACCTGTAAATTTCCTGCTTCATCCACATGCTCAGGTTTACTTCGAGTATTCACGACGATTTGCTTTGCTATGGCCAAAACATCCAACCCACACTGCTCTGCGTACTCTAGAGCTAATTGTCGTTCCTGCAACTCGATGATGTTTTCCAAATGTTGGGCGTAGAGGTGGACTTGGTTGGAAGTATTCAGTTTGCTCACGTAGTAAGCCACTAGCTGCGTTTCGTTCATGTCCATCAAGCGCTTTATATACCTGGGAAACATAGATTAACACTGATCATCTATGGGCGATTATGCTTACGATTTAACCACAGTCTCCACACAGTCCCTTTTATGGCCTTGGCCGATTTGGTCCAGAAATAAAACCACATGGGCGGTGAATCTGAGGAAATGTGTGGAAATATCGGCACTTTGAGACCAATCGGCGAGCTCTTTAAGTAGCGCTTGAATTTCGTCCAAGATTATGTACTTTTGGATTAGGTGTTCGTGCTCTTTGGCTTCATCCCTTACAGCTTTATTCTTTGAGGACTCCAGCTTCGTAAAAACCTCATGTAGAGACATCCTAACAAAATTCATTTAGGACCTTAGGGATGATGAAAAAAATTACATGGTACCTTTGAAGCCAGTATTCTTCAGGCAGCGGTAAATAGCCACTGTCTTTAGTGCAACAATCCCTTATTTCCGATTCCACCCGTATGTCCACCAAGGATTTCATATAGGCCCACAAATTGTCCTCCCATCTGTTGCAAACTGGTAAAATGGCGTTAACATTTCCGCAAAATACACCAACGGCGGCGCGTTCATACGGACTGATCCATTCCTGAGAAACAGTTTAACCCAATAAGCATCGGCTGTTTTTGAGAACGTTGAAGGTGTTTCGGTACCTGAATTGAATATCGCAAGGCCATAACTTTCCATAAGTCTCTATTGCTGTTGCCTTCAATATCCTTCAATTCGTTGGAGTCCATTTCTTGATAGCTGTTGTCCATATCGGGGCTTCTAGCAATGTCTTCCTTAATGTTGGGGTCGTGAAATAAGTGCCAGCCCTCGAAGATCGCCGCTCTCCAAGAGTGCCCGCATTGGCGTGCCAGCTAAAACATTGTTTCAGAAACCAACCAACTGCTTAAGGAAACTTGCTACTTTTTGGGCTTCTCCCAGCTTGCCGCATCGGATTTCTTGAAATATTCTGTAATTCAAGCGCTTTTCATCGTCCATGTCGATGTCGTGAAGGGGTTTCTTCTGGTAGTGTGGCGCATCTGGATCTAGCTTGTCCACTATTGGCCTGCAAAGGAGTTTGGAGTTTTTTCCTGTCGGAGTGTTTCTGGCTGCTTACCTGGAACTTCCAAAGGCAATTGTTTCTGCCGACTGTAGCTGATGCAGTGTATTTTCCCATCCGACGGTTGAATCGGAGAAATGCAGCACTGAATCGTCTTTCTCGCAAGCTTCAGCTTCCAGCCTACAAAGTGTTTTTTTTTAGGTAAAACTCCAAAAATATAGAACGGAACTCACCAGTCAATAACCAGCTGGCATTCTCTAATTAAGTTTTCCCTTTTGAACAGGTTTTCCACGCAGGTTTTTTCAGACTTTCCAAAGTACTGTATTTGAGCGTCTTCGTCCATCATGCTTTGAACCGCCAGTCTACACCATCAAAAGTATAACAATTGAAGAGCTTTAGAAAGCGAAACAATTACCTGTCCTGGAACAGGATGTACAACAGCCTCCAAGTGTCCCTTTCCTTTTCGAGCCACAATTCTTCATCGACGGTTTTAATGGCGACTTTCGACTTTAGGCTTCGGACGATTTTCAGGGCATCGGAACAGCATCGGGCCAGCTCAGAGAGCATTTCCAGAGCGTCTCTACTCTCTGAAGCAAACCATCTTAATTCGATTACTTGGTATTTTAATCAGAGGTTGGCTACCTGTTTGTCCTTGCAGAACTTCAAAATACTCTACATATAAAGAATCGACTGCGGTTTTCCAGGGGTTTTCCTGCTGTATGATTCCTCCAGCCAAGGTTTTATCTGAATTCATGATGTCGCTCATGGTTTGATTATAAAAGCTAGGCGAATCGGTCATGAGATAATCCATCTCACTAGGGGCCAAAGTAACGCTAAGGTTCAGTTTGTTGGCTAGAAATAAAATTGTATTAAATCGGGTTCATTCTGCTGCACCAACTGCGATTCCGCATTCGTTTTTAAATAGTTAACTGGTCAAATGAGGTAAAGTTTCACTATGCAAACAGTACCTCTAATCTTAAGTGGTTTTTCCATGGGCCTTAGAAGCAATCCGCGACTTGGTGAAGATACACGAGCAGGAGACTCAGTCATCAGATACTCAATTTCATGAGGTGCCAAAGTAACACTAAGGTCCATACTGTTGAACGGCACTGAAATAATTAGATCGGTTTTCTTTCTAGATTGTAAACTGCAATAGACGCAACGCTACAAAGTGATTAGAAATTACGCATTTTAAAGGCAAGCGCGTATTTGTTCATCTTATTTTCAATCTTTGAGAATGCAAAAGCCCGAAAAGTATGTATGTGCATTATCTCATGTAAAATAAGGCAAAAAAATGCGAGCGTACAATTAAAATGTCTTTACTAATCTATTGAACTCAAGAAAACAAGTTTTTCTAATTTGAAAATCACGTTTGTGATTCCTGCAGCCCCCTTTCATGCTCCGCATCCTGAAACGTTAAGACAGTAGATAGAAAACACAATGTTTAAGTTGACTTCGATTTTGGGCACAAAACTACCGGAGTGCTAAGAAACCTTCTAATGAGTTTGACTAGCGGGGCCCTTAAAATATGCAACTCTCACACACAGTTTTGTCAGGTAACACAATTACAAGCGTGAAACGCCTCATTTTACCTCGATTCTTAGCAGTTTGAAATTTTGAAATGGACTTTCGAAATAACCCTCGGCTTGGCGAAGAAACGGCGTCTTCCAGTAGGCGCACTGAACGATTTAAGTCGTTATCCATCACGAAAACTTAAAGAATTACACCTTTTCTTTGGAAATAAACTAAAAAGCAGAAAGAATGTCAGTTTGCGTATTTTTGCCGGCTTTCTAACCACAAATTTCACCACAAAATATCCCCTGTGAATTTCACCTAGTTTGGCTGAATGTTTGGTTAAGTCGCCCCATAGATAAAGACAAGTCGACCTAAACTTGCATCTTTGTTTAGGTGCCAGTCCAAGAGAAAGTAAAAGTACTTTCTCTATGGTCAGAAGCTTTCAAATTAGGCAGGTAAGAAATCCCTTAAAATTATCAAAAATTCCTGAACTAGGTGAAAAAAGCCTTACTGACGAGTGCAATAAGTAGGCCCGGGACGAAACGCATGGTGCTTCAACGCGCGCCATAAAAACAAACTTCTATTTACCAAAACGGGTATGTATTAGGGATTAGGGCTCGGAATCAAACTCGAACAAATCGAGTATTCGAATATTCAAAAAGCGAATAGTTATGTTCAGTCATAACTCGAAAATTCGAACACTGGAATACACCAACATTATCAAACTCACAAGGTGCAAATATCTTTATATGTACTTTGTATACTTTTATAAAATAAGTTATTCTTCATATTCTACAAGCATTTAAACAAATAATTATATATTTACAAGCAAATGAAAATAATTATTTACCCTCCAGCAAATGAATATAAAATTACGTGTTTGTGTTCTGGTGACCAGACTGAGAAATGGCCGGTCGCCAAATACCAGAGGACGGTCACCAAAAACCACCAGTTTTGGGGCCAAGTAAACTCAAACGAGGTAAACAAAGCGGAACGGTTTAATTAAACAAGACCTCCGTTTTTTCTAACAAGTTGGACTAAAATTATATACCTATTGTCGTGCAGAGAAAGCTCAGTTACAGGGGAACCACATTCTGCTGACAAAAAATAAAAAAATTATGTGCATAGCGGGAGCGCGCGTATCGGATAGGAAAACTCCGTTAACGGGGTTTCTATTTAGTAATCAGCCTTCCATGCGCTGTTGCCACCTTTTTTCTAAGCGCAAAAAACCAATAGACGCTTGTTCACTGACACGAGAGGTTATTGACGTTTTACCACCACTCCTCCATTCTCCTACTCGCAGCAAACTGAAAAAAAATTAGATTAACGTGAATTAAAATCTTTTTAGAGGATGTTCTTCCCGGAATCGCGTTTAGTGATAAGATTGGCGTCGTTTGCTAGTGAAAGTGACCCGCTGTGCAAAGTGTATCTGTGAAAAACTAGTTTTTCTTTAAATATTTCAAATTAACCGAGCTGTGCAGTTTTGGATTGGAAGTCTCGACTTTATAGCAAATCGATAATGTTTGGGGAGCCTGAAAAGGAGAACTCACCCCAAAAGCAGCTGAGCACCATCGATAACAGGTCATGCACAAAGCCTGTAACTCGAGTATGTACCCTTTAGGATACCTGTGTAGAGCGGTGATGTTTTTTTTAAATAAAATGATATATTTTATACAAAAATCCAAATAAAGCTCTGTTTATTGGTTGTAGTTTTCGTCAAGTTTTTTATTATTTATTATACTTTGGTAATTTTTATTTTAGCACACTTGAATGGCTTTGTTCCTTCTCTTTGCATGAGTTTATTTCAAGTGCTTTCATAAAGGAGAAATGACCAACAACCAGGTAAGTCGATGTGGATTTTCTGTTTGTCAACAACCGCGCTATTTCATTTCCCAACAGCGAAAAGTCCCTTATTGTAGACAACTCAAGAACAAACGTTCAATTTAACAGCGAATTAATTGTTCAAATTGTGATGTTTGCCCTAAAAACGTGTGTTTATGTAGGTGTTCTCTAGTTGGATTATTTGAAATATTGCCACACAGTTGATTTAATGGACTTTAAACTTTAAAGATAATGGCAAAAAATGACTGTAAATTGCTATGTAAATCAAGACATGTAAAACAAGGTCATGCGATTCTATCTTGCTGAACAAAAACGCACTAAACGACATAACAACACTTCGCTAATTCTACTGGAAATGAAGTGGGTGGAAGATGTTTTTAAAATGACCACAGTGGATGGGCTTCAAGTACGTGTTGCAATTCCAAAACAGGGGATTTTCCATGGCTGGATCGACGCTCTTATAAATAAAGGATTGGGCTTTTTAGCAATCTTATCTCCACCGCTTTCATAGATATTCTGAAGTATTTTCCACTGATAATGTTATTCCACTAAGTTGATCCTTGATCGCGGTGTTTCGGCGTTAATTTAGGGTGTTTACTGGCAGAACGAAAATATGTCGCCCAATGAGGAAAGTGAAGCGGAATCGGAGCCAAATTACAGGAAGTTCTTTCCAGAAAAAACGGTACAATTTCACTAAATCCAATACATTAGGTTGATAAGTGTTGATTAATTTAATTTCCTATCCATGACGTGGTATTAAGAGATTTTAATCGGTGTTTAACAACCGCAAAAGTTAACTCTTAATTGAAACGAAAGTCCATAAATCCATTCAAATACACCACATCATACGGAATGGTTTCCTTGTCATGTGCAAAGGAGCTCCAATGTTTAATTAATAGCTATAGACAATAAAACTTTAATAGACTGACCGTCACATGCATGATCTCATGCCTTATAAGTGGCATATTTTCAGCGTCTTAATTAAACAATCGCTGGATGCTAATTCCAATCACTAAAATGGTCTGTAAACGTCTCAAGTCATATGCAAATATTCAGATGTGCGAAATAAACTTTGTTGCTTTGGCATCAAAACAGCCGCTCCATGTATTTAAATTACGTTGTGAATAATAATGTGTATCTCGTTGTTTTGCAAAGGCTCCTTTAGTTTTTTCTAGTGGTCGTTGGTGCAATAATACAAGTCTTGTTACAGGTTGCTTCATTTCGTAGTACCGTTATGATTTCATACATTTTACGATTCTAATCTCTTATATAAACCGTAAGGCTTAAATTTGTAAAAGCGTGTATTATTTATAACATTGCCCAAGTGGGTGGAACGAAGTAGCTTGAATTGTTTTTAATTGCCTTAATGTTGTGAATTTAATTCACATTCATGGGCTTCTTCAGCTGCTTTGTCTCAAAGTCAGTAGGTTACTATTGAACGTATGAATATTTCAGATTTGGTTCAAAGGGGTGCGAAGCTCCAAGTTTCGTCACGTTTATGGGGAACCGGCTAAAAGAGACAAATGCTACGAAAACATCCAGATAACGAAAAATGCACATGATTCACAATTTTGCGCGGTTAATCCGAAATTTTTGGCTGTTGTAACGGAGGTAGCTGGCGGTGGGGCATATATTGTCGTCCCGATTAATTGCGTGAGTATTTTAAGTAAATTGGAGGAATACTTGAAATTGTCACATGCGACTAAGTATTGCAAACGCTTTAGACTGGAAGGCTCGATTTCAATGCCAGCAGAGTGACTGGCCATTCAGGGCCGATCTTGGACATCAAATGGAACCCTTTCAACGACAACGTGATTGCATCGTGTTCCGATGATTGCACTGTAAGTCAATAAGTTAATTAAATTAACTGTTCACGAGCGTTTTCAATGCATTTTAGATTAAACTGTGGCATATTCCCGATGATGGACTTGCGATGCATTTGAACGACTGGCTCGTTGAGCTGCAGGGCCATAAACGCCGAGTAGCATACATAGAATGGCATCCCGTTGCAGAAAATATTCTGTTCAGTGCCGGATTCGATCACTTGGTACGTGAGGATTAATAAACCTTTATCAATATCAGAAAGATTAGAATGAAATATCTTAAATACTTGATTTTTATTGGCCTGGCAAGTAACGCCTGTGCGTGCCTATTTAATTCAAAGGAAAGTAATCGGTTTGTCCTTTTATGGCTTGCCGTTTTTTTTATTATCAGGCGACGAAAGTGTTTTTACTGCTTTCAAGGCGAGTTCTAAATATGTCTAGACCTTTCGTTTTTAATGAAAATGAACGGACTGCACCAAAGCGTTTCATATCACTTTCTACTGTCGCTGCTTATGGTAACATCTGCATCCTAATCATGTAACTTCGAGTAGATTTCGTCGATTACGAACATTATATTGAATGTTTTTTTATAAAAAAAAACATTAATATTCCCCGGTCAAAATGGGATACGGGAGAATGAAAAGAAAGTTGGGCAATTAGAAGACTAATAAAATGGAGCGTTAAAAGCTTAAAAATTATTCATTTTACATTTTTTATATTTGGCAATTTTAAGTCAGCGAAAAAACCAACTTGGATTGGTTGGAAACCACGAATTTTTGAAAATTCAGTTTGCTCCGCGAAAGGTGCCATTTGAATTTGAAAATTCGTAAAAAATACCGAATTATTACTCGACTAAAAAATTACGCTGCGTATCGATTTAGTCATAATTTATTTGCAAGATTCCGACTACTGAAGTCTTTATGTCTCGAGCTGTGTGACAACATTTTTGAAAATTGAACCTGCTTTGCGCAAAATATCAAGTTACCACTTGACTTTAAAAAATCATAAAACATTAGTCTGATTATGGATTTGGTGGTAATTTGCAGGATTTAAAGTAGAAGCTATTATTTTTATTTGTCGCAATTTTCAGCCCCCCAACTGCTTCGATAATTTTTTTTAATTGTTTTAAAAGCGATAATTTTTTTTAATTGTGTCTGCTTCGCGCGGAATGCCAAATTATCACTTGACTTTGAAAAAACATAAAAAATTAGCCTTCTTATCGGCTTTGTCATAACTATTGACTATTATCTCTGTTTGTGCCAATTTTCATTCGGATTGAAAACGACTAAGCTCGTACAATGGGGCCATTAAACTTGAACTTTGCTTTTTGAAAAGTCGATGGTGGCTTCGCCAAACCAAAACCTTCCAATTAGCCCTTCTTCAAACCGTAATTAAGCTAATTGACGCTTACACTATTCAAGCAAACCACTTCTGAAGATGCAAGCCACTCGTGCTTGCGAAACGTCAAGAAGAAATTCTACCGAACGACCGCCTAAAAACCCATTAGTTTCAAGGAATGGCCTCGAAACTCTATCTCTTTTGAGAAACGAATCGTTTGAAGTTTTCGACTGAATTGAAACTTTACAATCAATGCGGTTTTCTCCATGATCCAATAAACCAACTAAGATTCCTTCCAGATTATTCTGTGGGACATCGAACGAGGAGAAGCAATTAACGTGATTGATTGTCACCCAGACGCAATTCACTCCATGTCCCTAAACCGCGATGGAAGTCTATTGGCTACCACTTGCAAAGATAAACGCTTGCGGGTGATTGAACCTCGAAGCGGAATAGTGAAATCGGTAAGGCATTTCAACAGCGCAAATCCCCACAGTCAGATTATGTGTGATTAATAGGAAGGAATATGCCATGAAGGCTCTAAGGCCAGCAAAGTGGTCTATTTGGGATCGACTGGACGACTCTTGACCACTGGCTTCTCAAGGCATTCGGATAGAAGGTGAGACGAATTGCCCTCAAAAAAATTCCCCGTTATAACTTCCGTTCTTAGATATGCTGTGTGGGACGAGAACAACCTTTCCAGCCCCCTATTCGGAGACACAATCGACAGCTCATCAGGAATAGTCTTTCCATTCTACGATCCAGACACCAACATTGTATTTCTGGCCGGAAAGGGCGATGGAAATATTCGATTTTATGAAATTTGCGATGAATCGCCCTACATTCACTACCTCAGCCAAGTGATATCGGGAAATCCTCAAGTAAACTACCAGAAAACCGATAATGAATTGCCTTTTAATTGAATATTCTTCAATGTTGCAGAGAGGATTAGGTTTCATGCCCAAACGCGGCCTGAACACTTTGCAATGCGAGATTTACCGATTCTACAAACTGCACGCAACCAAAGGTCTTTGCGAGCCCATCAGCATGGTTGTGCCGAGAAAAAGTGACCAATTTCACGAAGATTTGTATCCAGACACTGCAGCAGCGAAGCCTTCGCTCTCGGCCCAAGAGTGGATCAAAGGAGCCAATGCGCCCCCGGTTTTAATGTCGATGCGAACAGGTAAAGCAACTGATATCATCAAACTATTTTTTAATAATCAATTCCTACCCTCTAGGACAAAGTCTGGCTTTGGATATCCAGGCTATAAAGCAACGAAAATTCGTAACTAAAACCAAGGAAGCCCCGGTTATCGACAATAACAAGCGCAAATTTCAGTTCCTTTCGACTGAAACAGTGCCTGGTAAGCATTCAGGGTATTAATAAATGAAGGGAGATGTAAAGTGAATGTTCTGTTAGACTACAGGCCGAAGGACGTTCAGGATGAGAAGAGCAAGAAAACTACAACGAACCAAACCACAAAGTTCCAGCAACTGCAGCAAAGATGGTCAAGCACGATCGAGGAGCCTGGCAAAGACATTCCCTTGTTCAAGGAGATTAACAGCATTGGAGACAATATTCTTACCGAACATGATGTAAGTGCTAAATCGATTTAGAGGGCTGTGTTGATGGAAACGGGGATTTTTCAGCTGAGATTGGCCTACCAAATCCAATCGGATGAAGTGAAGAAGCTGAAAAAACAACTATCAAATAGTGAGCACCGTGTACGTGAGTTGGAGGAACAAATTAGAAAACTTACCAAATTGTAAACTCCATCAAAATTCTTAAAGCGTTACAAAACTACTTTAAATCCGCTTGTGCTATATTGCGTGCTAATGCTACCTAATTGTTCTTACACAAAATGGAATCTTCTAGGGTTTAAAAATACGGAAATCTGGCGATTATTCAGCGCGCTTTGTTACCAGTTCGTAACATATTTAGAGCTATATGACTTCCTACTAGTGTAAATTTTGTCTAGTCAAAATGCACATTGTTTTCCAAATAAAAAGAAACCGGTTCGAATTTGCACAAGCAAGCTCTGTGGTTTGTTCTACTTTTTCCACTATGCATGTACGATTATTTATTTTCTACTTTTTTATACTTTACCGTGTATGATAATTCTGGTGGAGTTGGAATCAGTTATTGGTTTACGTTCTAGTATGTTAGTTATAAAATTGACAGTATTATTGTGACCTTTAAAGTAATCTTAATATTTTTGTACACTAGTGAATGTTGAGCTTTGGAGCTTTAGCCAAATTGATAGAATATTTTTGTAGTTCTCTACTTAATAGACGTATTCAATATTCCTGCAACTGGCTGCTCGTCTTAATCCCCATCCTAGAACACCTGCAAGGCCTAATGCCAGTCAAATGATCAATCTGTACAAAACGTATATTAAAATCGGCCCTATCTTACAAAAATAATAAGTGCCTATCAATATTTATCTTAACTAATGGACGGGAATAGTTGCGGAATGATCTTCTATCACATTGGTGCTGATAAATTAGAATAACTAAAAACACTCCAGTTGAATAAGCCAATGTGTAGTGTCTAAACAGAGGGCAGTGTTTACACTAAAATATCATCGTTTCAAGCTACAAAATCTAGCTCAACCTGCTGATCTTAACTTAGTTAGTTAACTGAGTATTGTTCGTAACAAAACACCCACGACACAAACGAATACAATATTAATACTAGACGTTGAAGCATGGGCGTGATTGCATCCATCGCCGGTACATGTGTAAATACAAGAACGGTACCATAAAGTGTCCCCTGGTTGTTTCACGTAATTGCAATAGTTGCCCATGTGGTTTGAGGAGCAGTAGCGCGATGTTCCAATTCCTGCACAACAATTAACTGGGTAGATTTCATTCCACCTAAAATGCTACAAGTAGGTGCGAGGCATGCGAAGCATAATGTTAATCAGGCAAGAACCGGTGAGAATCAGCCAAAAGTGCATACCTAGTTGTTCTAATTGTGAATGTTGCTTCAATGCAAAACCCTTTAAAAAGCGATTGAGAATACATAAGAGACGAGTTCTTAGTCAAGTTGCGCCTTATATCTTCTCAAGACTGGCCAAAGTACAGGCTTTAGATTTCTACATCAATAATCATGTACTAGCAGCAATTCAAGTACCATTTAGACTGGTAGATTTAATGCAAAATTCGGCTTCGAAAACATGGTCGCAACTCTTTGGCTGTATTCCTCCCATATGAATCATTACATCAGAACAGTCTAGACTTTCAGCTGATGAACACTGATAGCAATTTAATGAACTACCTGTGTTGAAAAAATGGGTTACAGTAGCTGGAAAGGATTGGGTTAGAGAAAGAAGCATTCATCACCCCCAAATCATGTTGTTATTAGCAGTTAGTTAACTGAAAAAATATCCAGGCACTGGGACTACCTTGGAAACGACCTGTAGTCTTAATGCAATATTTGGCCCCGTAGACGGCATCGCAGGGCTCCGGTTTAATATCAATGTCTGCGGTCAGCCACTCGTTACATTGGAATGGTTTTGATGAATCGCTGCCATTACATTGGTAACAGTTAAGGGCTGTCGCTATAGCGAAATTGTACGTTAAATTACCTAGTTGCCCTTTGACTGAACTAAGAAAGGGGCTTCTCATTAACATTCAGCCGCCCCTCATTTGCAAGTCAGTGACCAGCTTAATTGAGAAAGAGGGCAGTTGCCAGCTAGGGCTAATGCATGCTAAAACCCTAATGCATTTTTCCTTAATACAAGGCAGGCTTTAGACTTTACGTTGCAGAATTTGGATATGAGTTCTTTGTCAGTTAATTGGGAGTTGAAAAAGCTGTACTTACATGTAGCAATGAAGGCTATGAAAAGGAAACTGAAAAGAAAATGACTGCAGGCCATTTTCTGCGGAGCTTTCTCCTGCTGCTGCGCTACTAATTGGTATATTTAAGGGCTTCCAAAGGACGGAAATTTGATAAATATGAATTTACATTTAAATACTACTACTACCACACCTCAACTGGAATATAAACAACTCGAATTAGTGACAGTCAATGATGCCACACCAAGAACATCATTAGCCTAGTGAACTAGAAATTACAATTGATCATCACCAACTTGTATTCTTCATTATCTTTGTCCTTAATTAATGAGTGATAAGTGTTATCGCTAGTTATATAATACAAGTACTATTCTAATCGCATCTGGTAGGCAACACTGACCTTAAGTCAATGTCAAGTTTCGGTTTTTTTCAGTTTTAGGTGACCTTTTTGGTTTTTAGCAAAATATGCAAAAGAGCACGGTGAAATGCAGAATAGGGCCTTCGATACTGAACGCGGACCTTTCACAGTTGCACGCGGAGTCCAGACGATTGCTTGACAATGGAGCTGACTATCTCCACTTGGATGTTATGGATGGGCATTTCGTTCCTAACCTGACTTTCGGCCACCCCCTAGTGAAATGTTTACGAAAAAATATACCGAATGCCTTTTTTGAAACACATATGATGGTACAAGATCCGCAAAAGGTAATGGCCCAAAAACATGGAGCCCTGGGACTTTAGTGCGCATTGGTGTTTGGGGCTCTGTCATTCAATGTGTATTCGTTTCCAGTGGATCGAACCGATGGCTGATGCGGGCGTTAGCCAGTACACATTTCACATAGAACCAGTGATAAAAGAAGTGCTTCCAATATGTCGTAAAGTTCGAGAGGCAGGCATGAAAGTGGGGCTGGCTTTAAAGCCTGGAACTGGCATTGAAGCTGTAAGACAATACATTGATCATGCTGATATGATTCTCATCATGACCGTCGAACCAGGTGGGTTCCTTTCACCCTCAGAATGAAAAAATTCGCTTGCGCTATTCGAATTTTTTAAGCAGAGAACTTCACGGTTTGGAAATTCTCTTCACAGGCTTTGGGGGGCAAACATTTATGGCAGATATGATGCCGAAAGTACAGTGGCTGCGGCACAATTACCCCCTTCTCGACATTGAAGTTGATGGGGGCGTAGGCCTAAATACAATTACTGCATGCGCTGAGGTCAGTAACATTTTCGCCCACACTTATTGCCAGTTTTTTTTAATTATCAACCAATTGCTTTAGGCTGGCGCCAACATGATTGTGGGCGGTACAGCAATAATAGGCGCCTGTGACCAGCGATCGGTAATAGCGAGTCTAAGGGAAACGGTCGAAAGCTCAATTCATAAATGCAATGTTTAAGTTTGCAATGCATATGTGATAATACATATAACTATGTAGGTAAATATGCTAAGGAATGACAGAATAGACGGCAGAAGTTCTGATCGAATTGCTTTACAAAGGAAGATTCTTCGGAGGAATATCTATCAGGTTTGAGTTCCAAGTCATCTCAATCTTTATTTAACTATTTTTGCAAACGCAGACTCTTTCCACTATTGAAAGCTGCATGTTCTGTCAATCTATTACTAAATTCATAGGAAAATTGTTAACGGTTGTGTACTAAAAATCCTATCCAAAACTAAGTAAGTAAACTTGTTAACAATCATATTGAACTATATACAAGTTAGATGGAATAGGTGTTGTCCTTCAAACTTTCTTTGTTCAAAAATTGGGTTTTAACATTATTGTACAGGGTAGCCCAAAGTAAATGGGTGTTTGTTATTGTATAACTTTGGGGATGTGTGTGTACTATTTTCGACAGATGCGTCCCACTGTTCTAAAACCAAACTGTACAAAAGTTCAGCTTTTATATTAGTATTTTTTCCATATTTACAAAGGTGGTTTTAGATAGGTCGGTCACAGAACACTGCAGATGCGCAGCCCAAACTTAGCTATACGCTGTTTGGGTTCCCATCCGCACTCTCTAAATATGTATATTCTAATTGTAATGGAAAAGGGGAAATAGGTAAGCTAGGCAGAATTTTCGTTGGTATTCACTTTAGGTGTAAAAAGTATAATGTTTAAGAATCTGTTCCTTAAGTTAAATGGAGCTTGATGCAGTTACAACCATTCCTGTTAAGTTAAGACCTAACATAGCATGTTTTCGTACCAAATCTATAACATTCGTCTTCTACATTCTATTTTTATATGTTGGCTTTTAGATTTGTTATACGGTTAAATTTTAATAAATTTGCAATAACGTTTAACCATTGGGAAAATGCTGAAATGACTTTTAATCAGAGTCAAACCTGCTCATATCGTCAGCGACAGGCCCAGTTTTATCGCTTTCGCTACCAGCTTTTGCCCTGGGCACTTTCCCTGGCAACACGGAATCTTCTTGATACTCTGTATCGTTTCCATCAAAAGTTTTGCTCTGGAATTCCGGATTCAATTTGGGCCTGAGCGCGGCCAAACTGATCAAAATTGCTTCTTCAGTTCGAATCGTTCTTGATCCCTATGAAAAACATTTTTTTAAATCAAATAGTTGGGCTTCTTTCGTTGATTTTACCTGTTCGGGGATCGTATTTAGGTAATTGTGAAACAGCAGTTTGGGATCATCTGCGTCTAAAACCGAGTCGTTTTCCAAGGCGGCTTCCAATCCTTGCACGCCTCCAAATACTACCAGCAAATGCTTGTATTTTGGACACACGAATTGATCAACGGCGGAGCCTCGGTCCGATGTGCCTATGGTAAGATCGTACCTGCGCCAAAGGGGAAAAGGTAAGTTGTTTAACACTTCAAATATCAGCAATTCTTACCCTTCCTTATAAGGGCACTGGGAGAAGACATCGGAAAGGGAATTGGCTACTCTCACTGAATAGCCCCAATAAATTCCTGTTTCGCTTCGGGGTAGATTGGGGGACACTAAAATTCCTTTCAGCTTCTTTATATTGGGTTCTTGGGGCAGCAGCTTAACCGTACATCGGATACCTTAAAGTGGCATAAGTAAATATCAACTGTACATTTCGGCAGCATGGAATAACTACCGGGTACAAGGGCCTGGTTCACTCTAACTTGTCTCAGCAAGCCAACATTCACTGTGGATCCTTTGCCATCTTTGACCGGTGTGTTTAGGACAACTCCTTCCCTGAAAAGTAAAAAACTTAAGCATCTTCAGAGGTGGTTGACCTGAATATCAATTTACACAGATTAGATTTTTACCTGAATATAAAATTATCCTTCACACTCAAGTGATGTGGCGCATTCAAGGGATTCAACAGACCGCAGTACTTCAAGTCGTTCTGAATGGGGAAAAAGAACTTCCTTAGATACTGCGGGCATTCCAGGTATTGCAGAATTTTACTCAACTGGACACAGCTGTATCTGGACTGTTTTTCGCCTTGTTCATCGTCAAACTTTGCTTTCTTCGCAAACGGTTCATCGGAGTGATCATCAAAAACGATGATTTCATTTGCCTGAAATCGACTGTACCTTGTACTTTTCAGTAGGCTTTCATTGAGTTCTTAAACACACCTTTTGTGTTTGCAGATTGCGCATTTTGATGACAAAACAAAAACAAACACAATTTACCTGAAAAATGCAGGCTGCCCTAGCTATTTGGCCAGCCAGATAGCACCTAAGCTCTGGGGTTTGGGTATTCTCCAAAATCGATCCAGGCACAGCTATGGACAAGGTAGAGATGGTTTTGGGCACTAATGAAGCGGCGGCATCTACATCCTGCTTATTTTCTCCTTTTAGTTGCTGTTTCTTCATTTTCTTCTCCAAATTGATCTCTCGCCATTTCCTTTTCTCCTCCTTTCTGCCTTTGTTCACTTCACTCCAACTTTTCTTTTTGTTTGGATCAGCTTTATATGCCTCCATAATTAGTAATACACATGGAGTAAAACTACAATAACTAAATAAATACAGAAGCGCCGAAAATGTGTTTAGTAAACGTAACTTTTCAACCTAGGTTAAACGCAGAACACCTCTGAGGTTAAGTTTGGTTTTGTCAAGATGACAGAAAATAGTGCAGGACTGAGACAAAGTCTTGAACCGGAAACGGGTAGTCTTTCTTTATTGCACCATTGGAGGGTGTAAAGAACCGGCTTATTAAATGATCTGGTTCTATGCACAAAATATTCCCCCTATGGGGGCATGTTCTGTGGTTCTATGATCTGGTTCCAGAGCTGAAACCTAAAAGCTCGCTAAAGGGGTAATTTTAAAATGTGAATAATTTATAAGCCTGCGTTAAAATTGCTCTAAAACATGAATATTTAAAAGCAAAAAAAAACTGAGCACGTACCGATAATTAACCGATACAATTATTGAATTTTTCCTAATAAATAATTTATAAATGCTTTGAAATGTCCACATCTAATAGTTAGGAACAAACTGGTTGGAAATGGGGTGCTTAATAGAGTTATTGGAAAACGCGTATTTCCATTGCCTGCACTATGTGGTCAATAAAAGGCTCCGAAAGGTGGAAAGGCTATTTTGGGCGTTGTGGGCTATTCTGGCAATCGTGAGTAAACTAATAAAACATTCTAGACGTTTCTAGAACCTGCACAATTTAACGCTCTATCAAGCAATGAGAGCAATATCAACTAGAGCTTTGTAGCTCACAGGGGCGGATCCAGCCCAGCCAAGTCAGGGGGGGTTATCTAGAAAAAATACAGTCTTCTGTTGTCAATAAAATTAGAAAAATGATCGTCGTTTTGTGCAAGTAAGATTATTGCAAAATTTCATGTTTTCCGTCCCGTTTTGCATGTTTCTCGGAAGCAAAATGAGCAAGAACGCTCGTTTTTACATCATTCCAGA